GGCGGTGGGGATCCGCCGACGGGACGACCTCCGCCGCGGCGAACGACGCCAGCTAAAACTGGAAAATCGCCTGATGGCCGTCGCCGCGGCCGATCAAACCTTGGGGAGCGCTATCGCTTTTTGGCGGGGCGTGAGTTCGGGCGATCATCCCCGTGGTGACCTCACCGCGTACGCCCCGCTCGGCCTGCCTCTCTTCACCGAGGCGGTGGACCTCGCGGCGTCGCGTTCGGGATGGGATAAAAAAGAGCCGGCGGAAGGTGAAGAGGGTCCTGCCGTGGTGTTAGGAAGCTGGTCGAGCGTGCGAATGCAATACCTACGCCGCATCCCGGCGGCACTTCGTGCGAGCGTGAACGCTGCAGCCATCGCTCGCAGGATTTTCGAAGAGGAAGAGGAAATGGTGGTGGGAGATGGTCGGGGGCTTTGGCGCCAACCCGACGTTCTTCTTGAAGGATCTGCGGTAAATCGATCCGCGCGTCGGGGAACGCCCCGGGTGCGTCAGAGCTCTCAATCTTTGATGGCGGTTCTTTACATCTCCCTGGAAGGAATGGTCTACCCAGTTAGGATGGCTGATGTCGATAGTCTGGTGGGTCTCTTTTTCGAGGCTTCGGCCGATCCTTCGCACACAGAAACCCATCGTGAGGAGGACATGGGCGAGGAGTTCGCTACCGACGCGGAAACCACACAGTTTGTCAAAGCGTATAATGGGTGGGTTTTACCCTTCGACGAAGACGACTCGTTTACACGCGGTGCGTTGGGGTTGTGAAAGCAATGAAAAGCGCAGCGATATGCGTTTAGAAGTAAATAAGTAGAAAGTAATTTCTTCGGCATGACTACTCCGTAAATGCACTATTGTTTTACCTGTATAACTTCTGAAAGGTCATTATGGCAGAAAAAAGAGGGAAGGGTAGAAGGTATTAGGAATTCTTCGTCGAATAGACATGCCTTTTAATATTAGCATATTTTCGTATTTCATTTCTTAATTCATTTCCTTTTCAAAACATTAAAAGCACAATTGATTCTCGTTTCAAAGATACATAAACAGATTGTACCATTATCATTTGTTTATATCATTATCCTTAGAAAGCCACGAACAGAGTTCATATTTGGCGTTATTAATTAGCAACCGCTTTAATATAGTCACCGAAGTAATAGTGCTATTCCATAATTAAAAAAATGATTACGTCAGGAATCACTCTTGGAAAAGATGTCCCCAAAGATATCCATGACGTCCGAATGAAGAAGACCCGTTACGCCGTTTTTACCATTGACGACAGTGGAAAGGAAATCGTGACCACTAAGGTAGGATCCCGTGATGCTACTTATGACAAGTTTATTGAAGAAATCAGTATAAACGATCCTTGCTATATAGTATTTGACTTCGAATACGTTGATGGGTCCTCAATCAGCAAGCTACTCTTGATCCTGTGGATTCCCGACATTGCGAAGCCACGTACCAAGATGCTCTACAGCTCCAGCTTTGATGCGTTTGCTAGCGTATCCGAGGGGTACATGCGGGTTCCAGTGAATGAAGCCGCTGGGCTTGAAAATTCTGAGATTATAAAGTATATTAAAGCTCACACGTCTCTGAAATACTAGTTGATTACCTATATAAAGCAAATATAAATATTTTTTGTGCATGTGTCTTATTGACATTAAAATGAAGAGAAAAAACTTAATGAATAAAAATAAGAAAACTAGGATTCATAACTATTATATATCAAAGGATTAAAGTAAAGGCGAAAAATATATGTTTCTTGTATGTCCTTCCCAAATACCCCTCCCTTTCCAAATAATTGTATATACAGAAAATTGAACTATATAGCGATCTATATATATATAATTATAGAATTATATATTCTCGGTCGCGGTATTAAAAAAATGCACAAAGTAAATTTTAATATATACTAAAAGTCAGAATCAGACACATAAATTTAAATTAGTTACTTATTAGGCATTGAATGTGTGCGAAAAAGATAGATCCCAAAGAGGGAAAACAGTGGAAGTTGCTATTGTAAGTCCTTGATAAAGTGGTGAAAAATGTAGTATGTGACAAGAATGTATATGAAGATGGAGCTATCGCATTTTTTTTTTAATTGCTATTATTATATTTAAAAAAAAAATTATAGCCAAACTGAAGAGTTCTTCTTAACGCGGCTGAGTTGTAGTATCAGTTTGAAGGTGTTTAGTGAAAATAAAAACTAGGGTATTAGGTGGGATTTAGGGGATATACTATATAATTTTATAGACGGATTATCCTGTTACAGTTGCAGATAGAGTAGAATGTCAACAATCGGTTAGCTGAGATGAAAATAAATATGTTTATCTTTTCAATACAATCTTTTGAACTAAGGTAAATTATAGGTGTATTGTGGTTAGGAAGAATACCTGTTTAAAGTAGGCTTCTTTACACCTCTATGAAAAGTAGGAAAGTTCTCTCTGAAAACGTCTAGGCTTCTCATTTATAACGGAATAGAATCTTCCCTTTTAGAAAAAGAATTTTTTTTCCCCCTTTGATTCAATAAATTTATTCAATCTTGTTTTCTTTACCTCAACTAGGCCACGTATTCAATAGTCAAAAAGGAATAAAAAGTTAACAAATAAGTAGATATTAAAAACATACATAGCACTCGGAAGCTTTTTTCTAACCTGAACTGTTCCTTCAAGGAACAGAAGAAAAAAAGTATTTCACCTCCT